CTGTCCCTTCTCGACCTTTTTTTTTGGTGAAAATATACATAGCCAAAGATACACCATTTCAAAAATTTCTACATGCACAGTTCAGTGACATCGATTACTTTTTTCCGGTTGTGCTGATATTCTCACTTTAAATGAAGGTTTATGGAACAAAATAGTTTCTCATTAAACAGTTAGTACACATGTTGCCCTATGACCATGGTTAACAACCACACTACATGTCAACACTGTCCTTACTCAACCTTGGGTTCCCTATCACCAGCTTTCCTGTCCCCTTCTGCCTTCTAGTCCTTGACCCTGAACTGTTGTGCCTCTTTAGTCCCATTTTGTTTTATGGGGTTGTCCAATTCCCAGCTGAACAGTGAACCTTGGAAGTGACTTCACTACTGAGCTAAAAGGGTGTCTGGGGGCCATACTCTTGGGGTTTCTCCAGTCTCTTTCAGGCCAGTAAATCTGGTCTTTTTTGTGAGTGTTAGAATTTTGTTCTACATCCTTCTCCAGCTCTGTCCAGAACCCTCTATTGTGATCCCGGTCAGAGCAGTCAGTTGTGGTAGCCGGGTACCATCTAGCTGTATTTGACTCCAGTCTGGTGGAGGCCTTGGTAGCTGTGGTCCGTTAGTCCTTTGCACTAATCTTTTCCTTTTATCCTGTTCTCTTCATTCTCCCTTGCTCCCGAAGGGGTGAGACCAGTGGAGTATCTTAGATGGCTGCTCACAGGCTTTTAAGACCCCAGACGCTACTCACCAAGGTAGAATGTAGAACACTGTCTTTATAAACTGTGTTATGTCAATTGAGCTAGATGTTCCCTGAGACCATGGTCCCCACAGCCCTCCGCCCAGCAATTCAGTCCCTCAGGGAGTTTGGATGTGTCTATGGAGCTTCCATAACCTTTCCTTGTACAAGTTGTGCTGGCTTCCCCAGTAGTGTGTACTGTCTCACCCTTCACCAAAGATACCACTTATCTATTGCCTATTTAGAAAAGTACCCCATTTTTTTATTCCATTTATGTGAAATGTCCAGAATAAACAAATTCATAGAGACAGAAAGTATATTATTGCTCGATAGGGGTCAGGGGAGTTAGGAAGGAGGGAATAATAGTAGTGATGAAAATGCTCTAAAATTATATAGTGGTGATGTCTTCACAACTCTGTTACTCTACCAAAAATCACCAAATTTTGCACATTAAAAGGGTTAATTTTATGGTATGTGAGTTATATCTTAATAAAGCAGATATTTAAAAAGTGAGTGAAAGGGATAATGCATTTTGGTCTGATATAGAAGATTTAGGAGTTGATTATCAAACAGCATGATGAAAAAACAGGACACTTCAAGCTTTCAGCACATTAATCCAGCTCTCTCTGTCATTTTAATTCCTTGCCAGAGTTTCTAGGTATTTTATTGCATGCCATATTATCTTTAATCCCAAAAGCTCCTGGTTAGCCAAAGAGTTTTTCCCTTTCTTTAGTTCAAAATATGTTTAAATATTTATAAATGCTTTAAGGAGAAAAAAGTAAGAATAAAAATCTAGCTATAGAATGCAACCTAGAAAAATCTCTTGCTGAAACACAGCATAAAAGCTAACCATGGACCTTTTCCCCTTCCACATTACAACTGGTTCTCAAAACGCAACTGACAAAAACTTCAGAAGTAGTAGAGGCCGCATAAAGGCTATTTTATATTCACAAAACTCAGCTCTGCCCTTTACCCTTCAAACGTAAGTATATTACGTACACTGTGTAACCTGGGAGGTATTCCAGGCAAAACTTTACAAACTGCAGTATTCTATGCTTTGTTGTGATAATAAGGACCCCCTGGGGGAGACGTCTTAAGAAAAGACTATTTCCTAGCATCTTTGGCCAGGAGTTCTCCCCTTGGTTTCCTACCCAGGATGTCTGGGACGGACAGAATGTCTGGCCACTGTATTTTTGGATTGAAATGGACTGAAATAGCTTTTACATATGCCAGGAATTTAAGATAACATATTAAAGTGAGAATAATTATTTTAAAGCATAAAAACAAATTCTCTGCTAGGCTTTAGTTTAAAAAAAAAAAAAAGTTGCCATCAACTTGATTCAAAGTCATAGCAACCCCATGTGTGTCAAAGTAGAATTGTGCTCTGGAGGATTTTCAATGGCTGATTTTTCAGAAGTAGATTGCCAGGCCTTTCTTCTGAGGTACCAATGAGTGGACTCAAACTGCTAACTTTTCAGTTATCGGCCAAGTGCCTTAACTCTTTGCACCACTCAGGGACTAGTAGGTGTAAGTAAAAGGCATTAAACAAATATCAAGGAGCAGAAGTATGATCAGGCATCACTAACAAGAATAATAAATCAGATTAAAAATTCAAAATCACTATAATTCATTCGACAAACATTTTGTTGAGCGACTGCTATATAGCAGTAAACAGAGTTCCTACTCTCCTAGAGTTTAAAATGTGCTCAGTAGTGCTCCTGTTGCTGTAAAGAAAGCAATAAAATTAAATCAGGAAGAATGAAATAATTGAAAGAACCCTGTTCTAGGAGTTCCAAGATCTGAATCTCAATTCCAGGTCAATCAAACGCTAGGCAAGTGATACTGGATATGGCAACTTAATTTCTCTAAGCCTCAATTTCACACCTTGACAAATGGTGTGTAATATTATCTGTCCTGCATACCTCCTCAGATAATTATGAGAATCACAAAAAGAAAATATTCAAACATGCCTTGAAAAGTGTCAAAATCTCTGTGATTACAAGCTAGCACTATTACTGAAATATATAAAAAGCTATCAAGTCCCTTGCAATAAATAATTTTAACTGACATAGTCTACTGAAGGTCTATGTAGTTAGACAGTAAAACCCAATGCTAAGTGTCAAGTACACTAACAATGTAGAATAACATGTATTCAAAGGTTTCAGCCTTTCTCCACTTAACCATTCTAATTTCACCTGATTTCCTCAACATGTCAAATTATACTCATATTCTCAAGTAATGTTCCAGCCATAGAAAGAGAACACGAACCCAAATGGACGCCCATCAAATTTCCAAACAGAGCAAGAACGACCATGTGTTTGGTTACTCTTCAGTGTATGCATTTGTCACTTCTATTTGAATCTTCACAAATGACAGAACTTTCAAAAAAGAGACAAAACTGTTTGGGAAAACAAAATAACAATTGTTATAATGGCAACCACATTAACTGGACTGAGTTTTTATTTCAATTATTTTAGCACTTCTAATGGACAACATTGTCCTTTAGAATAATAAAATGCGTAAGACATGACCAAAATACAAAACCTCAAAATTCAACTCATGACGAAAGTAAATTTTAGTTGGCATAATTTTAGTTTGCAGATTTACTGTCAGTATGAGTCGGTATGTATCACTGCTGAACACTAAGCCTAAGCCTAAGAAATAGTTAATACCTATAGGTGCCCCATGAAACAATAAAATCCAAACAGCCTGTCCCTGTTGGGCTGGAGAACTAGAATAATCCTGCTTTTCTTCAAACACTGACAAACTTTTACTATGATAGCTGAAAGTCAACTTAATCCTTCCTTTCCTGGCTCATAATAAAAATAAATACTCTGTCCTGGAACTAAGATGTGATTTCCCATTGTGAGTTTTCATGAACAAAGAAGGAACAACCAAGAAAACGATCATGAATGGATGAGTTTTGTGTATTTTTTAACCACATAACCTTGTGTTAGAAAGTAGAACATAAGAATCAAGACAACTGCAGAGAAAGTTCTTACTGACTGCGCTCTGGTTCTTCTTTATCAGAACTGATTGGATCACAGCCAAAGTTCTTTGGTACTTTCCACACAAATCCACTCCCACCAAGCATTCTGGGAATTTAGTAACTTCATTAAAGATCGAAGGGCTAGTGAAGGATGGAGTCATATCCCTGGGCATGTAGTCTTTCCCCATCGCACTGGCCCCATCTGCACTCTTTCTATCTTCCGTCTCTCTCGCCTCTTTTTCTGGAATAACTGACAAGTCCCTCCACTCATCCTCATGCAGAAGAGTTTCTCACATACTAGTTACTTAAAGATATGATTGCTTGTCAGTCACTAGAAAGTACAGCGAAACCTGTGAGAACTGGAACTTGACTGGACTGCCTTGTTTTTCCAGGTCTCCCAAGTTTTCTGCCTTTGACAGGGTGTAGTCACCACTTTTGTATCACTCATTTTAGTGGAAAATATTTGAGTTTTCCTTCTCTGACAGGTTTCTGCTTTACACAGGTTCTGGCTTTTGCAGGTTTTACTGTAAAATAAACTGCTCAGGGAATAAAAGAAGAAGACGAAGGAGGTAAGGAAAAAACAAAACAACATATGAACACCCCAAAAGCAAATGGGAGGATAAAAAAAAAACCAAACCAGTTGCTGTTGAGTCAATTCCAATTCATGGTGACCCCATGTGTGTCAGAGTAGAACTGTGCTCCATGGGGTTTTCAATGACTGTGATCTTTCGGAAGTAGATTGCCAAGCCTTTCTTCCGAGGCACCTCTAGGTAGATTCAAACTGCCAACCTGTTGGTTAGTAGCTGAGTTCTTAACTGTTTGCACCACCTAGAAACTCCTAAATGGAAAGATAGCCCCATGAATTCACTTGGCATTATACTCTCAAATTAGGAGACCTCCTACAAGCTGACAAGCAACAAACTGCCATTTCAAAATAAGTAACTTAAAACTTCAAAACAGAAGCATAAACTTACACATGTAAACCACCACAAAATCAATACTATTATATTGGGACAAGCAGTTTAAATCTTTAGACCTCAGAAATGTGGAATGACATTGATACATTTTCATTTCTTTACTCATTGCCATTTCTGGACCACTGAAGGGTAGGCATTTTAAGAACAAGGCACTCGATTTTATTACAGGTTAAACTGAGTGGCGCTTTTGCCTGTACGACCAGTAAGTAATTGTGAGTTGAGAGCATTGGTTGCCATGCTTAAATATTTACCTGTAGGTTTCACAGACATTAAAGGGTACTTGTATTCAGCATCTTTAGACTTACTTGTATTTCTGTGACTTTGGTCCCCTGGGAGAGAAGCATTTGTGGTCCAGGCTGGAACATGCTGGTTGGGATGTACAGTAGACGGCATAGTGCTCTCATTATCAATAGTATTTGTAAGAATAACATCAGACACTTGGACTTTACCATCAGTGACCAAAGGTTCACTCCCATTTGATTTAAAATAGGGATTTTTTAATGCTCCTGAAAGACAAAAAAAGATGTTTTCAAACATAATTAAGAACAACAAAAGCTCGAGCAGCAAAAGATAAAATTGATAAAGGAGACCTCATAAAAGTTAAATACTTTTGTACATCAAAGGATTCATTTTTGTAAACTAAACAGATAAATACTTAAATAAATATGTATGAATAAAAAAACACAGCTAGGAGGAGTATTTATTTTAAAATATATATATTAAGAAAACTCTAGCGTTATTTTTCTGTGTGTTATTCTACCCAGGCAGACACAAAGAGAAAGACAATGGTGACCCCAAATACCCCAGCTTTTGGAAAAACAATAGAGTTGCTTTTCCACCACAAATCACACAAACCTGTGAGAAAACATGGCTTTCTCAAGACATAAGGCAGAGAACCTGAGTCTCCCATCTAAATTTTTTAGTGCCTAAAGAATTTAGGGCAAGTTCACCTTCAATTGTGGTGACTTTACCTGGGAACCACTACAACTAAATAAAATATGATGAATCTCATAGTATTTCTTACTGCTTCTATTCACCCATCATATTATATTACTTGGTACCCCCAACTTACACTCCACAGATCTTCGTATGTGGCATCAAAGGACACAATAGTCCTTGCTTAGATTCAGCCTTATATTTCCCCATGTCGTGCGCTGAATTTCGGTAAAGTGTATATAGCATATAAATATAAACAATAAACAAAAAAAATAACCCATTGCCTTCAAGTCAATTCCAACTCATAGCGACCCTATTGGACAGAGTAGAACTGAGCCACAGGGTTTCCAAGAAGCACCTGGTAGATTCGAACTGCCGACCTTTTCATTAGCAGCCGTAGATCTTAACCACTACACCACCAGGGTTTCCAAATATAAACAATAGGGCTCATATATTTACCAAGTCTTGAAGAAATCAAAAAAGTAAAACTCTAATTACAGCACAAACTAGAAGAAGAAACTAAATTATCTTCGTCTTTGACCATAAGCTATAAAACATAATTATAAGAAACAGCTGTTAAATTTAGACTACCAACTGGTCACTTTCTCAAGGTATTCATGCACTGAAAAAATGCAGAGCCACCTCTAAGATTATTGGGAATCACCTAGCTTTGTCTTTAGGCAGAAACTTTTGAAACTTTGAAAGAGCTAATATATTTTTAACTCAGTCAAAACAGACAGCAGACTGTGTTTCCAGAATATAGCACTGTAGTTGAGCATACCACGAAAATAAATGAATGTGATATTGATCCATCTATAAAAATACACAAGGGAGTTTTTTTTCTAAAAACATTTACAGTGAGTTCTCAAATTGGCTCTCAATTTTCTAAACAGTCCCATAGACCATTAAAAATAAAAGAAATATAAATAAAATGTTTAATATTGGTCTATGGAAAAAATTTCTCTACATATGTTTGACACTTGAAAATATTAACTACAAATCAAAATAGAAAAGCAGCTGTTTTCTAGCTAACTAAAGTCAACAGTTTCATCTGCCAAAGATTTCTAAATAAAACACTGAGGAGTAAAAGCTAAATCATTACCATGTGATACAGGTAACACACTCTCCAAACTCTGCGAGATTATGAGTAAACAGCAAACACAGGAAAGTGAAATAAAGATTTCATTTATTTGTTTTTGATTTTTACAGTGATTTAGAATTTATTTTGGATCAAAATAAATGTATGTGATAGGCTTAATTGCTTTATGTGAAATGTATTTGATTCATAGGGAAAAGTGTAGTAATCAGTTGGGTATAATTATACTTTTATCCACATTTTTTAGTGACTCTCTTCTTTGCTTATTTTGGTATAAAGAGATTTTTCACGTAACATGTTATTTCCACTAATGTGGTTATAAAGGATGAATAACGTCCATAAGGTTGATTTACTTACCATGCTAAACCTTATGAGTCAGCATTAATTCCATAAATGTACTTTTAGCAAATGCCAGTTCCTCATGGTTATGCCTGGGTAATTCACTTAAGAGGGGTCTCTTATACGAAATATCTTATATATAATATTTTTTATAATACCTCACGCACTTGTCAGTCTGTTGTACTGTTGGGACTTGTGTGTTGCTGTGATGCTGGAAACTATGCTACCTGTACTCAGATACCAGCAGGGTCACCCATGGAGGACAGGTTTCAGCTGACTTTCAGACTAAGACAGACTATGAAGAATTATCCAGCGGTCTACTTCTGGAAAGAATCAACCAGTGAAACCCTTATGAATAACACTGGAACATTGTCTGATATAGAGCCAGAAGATGAGCCCCGCAGGTTGGAAGGCACTCAAAAGATGACTGGGGAAGAGCTGCCTCCTCAAGGTAGAGACGACCTTAATGACATAGAAGCTTTCAGGACCTTCATTTGCTGATGTGGCATGACTCAAAATGAGAAGAAACAGCTGCAAACATCCATTAATAATTGGACCATGGAATGTACAAAGTATGAATATAGGAAAACTGGAAATCATCAAAAAATGAAATGGAATGCATAAACATTGATATCCTAGATATTAGTGAGCTGAAAAGGACTGGTATTGGCGATTTTGAATCAGGCAATCATATAGTATACTATGCCGGGAATGACAACTTGAACAAGAATAGCGTTGCATTCATCATCAAAAAGAACATCTCAACATCTATTCTGAAGTACAACACTATCAGTGATAGGATAATATCCATAAGCCTACGAAGAAGATCAGTTAATATGACAATTATTCAAATTTATGCACCAATCACTAAGGCCAAAGATGAAGAAATTGAAGATTTTTACCAAGTTCTGCAGTATGAAATTGATCGAACGTGCAGTCAGGATGTATTGATAATTACTGGTGATTGGAATGTGAAAGTTGGAAACAAAGAAGAAGGATCGGTATTTAGAAAATATGGCCTTGGTGATAGAAATGATGCTGGAGATCTCATGATAGAATTTTGCGAGACCAACAACTTCTTCATTGCAAATACCTTCTTTCACCAACATAAACAGTTACTATACATGTGGACCTTGACAGATGGAACACACAGGAATCAAATCAACTACATCTGTGGAAAGAGACAATGGAAAAACTCAGTATCATTAGTCAGAACAAGGTCAGGGGCTGACTGTGGAATAGACCATCAATTGCTCAAATGCAAGTTCAAGTTGAAAATGCAGAAAATTAGAATAAGTCCACAACAGCCAAAGTACGACCTTGAGTATATCCCACCTGAATTTTGAGACCATCTCAAGAGTAGATTTGACTCATTGAACACTAAGGGCCAAAAACCAAAGGAGTTGTGGAATGACATCAAGGACATCATACATAAAGAAAGCAAGAGGTTATTAAAAAGACAGGAAAGAAAGAAAAGACCAAAATGGGTGTCAGAAGACACCCTGAAACTTGCTCTTGAATGTCGAGTAGCTAAAGGGAAAGGAAGAAACGATGAAGTAAAAGAGCTGAACAGAAGATTTCAAAGGGCGGCTCAAGAAGACAAAGTAAAGTGTTATAATGACATGTGCAAAGACCTGGAGATAGAAAACCAAAAAGGAAGAACACGCTCAGCATTTCTCAGGCTGAAAGAACTGAAGAAAAAATTCAACCGTTGAGTTGCAATATTGAAGAATTCTACGGGGAAAATATTAAAGAATGAAGGAAGCATCAAAAGAAGATGGAAGGAATACACAGAATCATTATACCAAAAAGAATTGGTTGACATTCAACCATTTCAGGAGGTAGCATATGATCAGGAACCTATGGTACTGAAGGAAGAGGTCTAAGCTGCACTTAAAGCATTCGTGAAAAACAAGCCTCCAGGAATTGACAGAATACCAATTGAGATGTTTCAACAAACGGGTGCAGCGCTGGAAGTGCCCATTCATCTATGCCAAGAAATTTGGAAGACAGCTACCTGGCCAACCGACTGGAAGAGATCCATATTTATACCTATTCCCAAGAAAGAAGATCGAACCAATTGCAGAAATTATTGAACAGTATTATTAATATCACAGGCAAGTAAAATATTGCTGAAGATCATTCAAAAGCAGCTGCAGCAGTACATCAACAGGGAGCTGCCAGAAATTCAAGCTGGATTCAGAAGAGAATGTGGAATGAGGAATATCACTGCTGATGTCAGATGGATCCTGGATTAAAGCAGAGAATACCAGAAAGATGTTTACCTGTGTTTTATTGACTATGCAAAGGCATTTGATCGTGTGGATCATAACAAATTATGGATAATATTACAAAGAATGGGAATTCCAGAACACCTAATTGTGCTCGTGAGGAACCTGTACATATATCAAGAGGCTGTCGTTCAAATAGAACAAGGGGATACTGCATGGGTTAAAGTCAGGAAAGGTATGTGTCAGGGTTGTATCCTTTTACCATACTTATTCAATCTGTATGCTGAGCAAATAATCCAAGAACCTGGACTATATGAAGAAGAACATGGTATTAGCATTGGAAGAAGACTCATGAACAACCTGCGTTATGCAGATAACACAACCTTGCTTGCTGAAAGTGAAGAGGACTTGAAGCACTTACTGATGAATATCCAAGACCACAGCCTTCAATATGGATTAAACCTCAACATAAAGAAAACCAAAATCCTTACAACTGGACCAATAAGCAACACCATAATGAACAGAGAAAAGATTGAAGTTGTCAAGGATTTCATTTTACTTGGATCCACAATCAACACCCATGGAAGCAGCAGTCAAGAAATCAAACAACACATTACATTGGGCAAATCTGCTGCAAAAGACCCCTTTAAAGTGTTAAAAAGCAAAGATGCCACCTTGAAGAATAGGGTGCACTGACCCAAGCCATGGTGTTCTCATTGCCTCATATGCATGTGAAAGTTGGACAATGAATAAGGAAGGCTGAATGTCATGGATTGAATTATGTCCCCCCCAAAATGTGTGTATCATTTTGGCCGGGCCATGATTCCTGGTATTGTGTGGTTTTCCTATACGTTGTAAATCCTGCCTCTAGGATGTTAATGAGGGAGGATGGGCGGCAGCTGTG